ATGATTTGTAGAGAAGTTAATACTTTGAATTAACAATATCAAAATAAAAAGAATTTTTTTATATGTAATGACGAATTGAAAATATAAAGTGATGTATAAATATTAAACAAAAGTATTTTAAAACATAACAGTTCTTGTGAAACATAGGGAATAGCGAATAAATATATTTGACACTCGTTCGATAATGCATTTTTTTATTATATTATATAGTTCTTGTATTTTAGCCATTTTGATAATTTTTTTAATAATTATAAATTTATCGATTCCTTACTACTATCCTACTAAATTAAGGCAATGTTTGGAAGCGTTTTGGATCTTATTTTGATTTCATTTTGAGTAAATATGTTTTGGGGGAATAATTTGAGAATGAAAGTAATGTTTGTTTGTATTTTGGAAGGAGACAAAATACACTATAGCAGTCAAATCATGTTTAAATGTGTTAGAAAAAAGTATTTTGAAGAAAAAAAATGAAAGATGAAGTGATGTTTATTTGTTTTTTAGTGAAGACATTTTTTACTGTAGCAGTCAAATCATTTTACTGTAGCCGTCACATCATGTCTGAAGGAGAGAGAAACTTTTGAAATTGTTTTGAAAAAATGATTTAAAAAGTGTAATAAATCTCATTTGTTTTGGGGAAACAATGAAAACAAAATGGAAATGGTTCCAAACATTGCCTAAATATTTTGGTCAGTCAAAAAATATTTTTCCAGTCAAAGAAAACTTTGATCAAACCTTCATCCCACAATTGGGCCTTGTGAACTGCAAAATAGTATTTTAAGGCCCAATCTACAACCGCCACCTGGCAATTCTTATACCGAGGATATTTTGAAGCCCATATACAAGTAGGGTTATTAATAGTATTTATTTTTAATATTTTTTAGTTTTCGATTTTAATTTAATATTAATTCTATTAAACAAAAAAAGAAAAAAAAATCATAAATAGTTTAATTTTATGTAATTAAATTAATCTTACGAATCCCATTCACAATCGTCGGAAGGTAAATAGAGAATCCCCATGCAGTAATTCTGGTTGCTTGTTGTGTAGGTAGGTGACAAATAGAAACAACATATGATAATCATAAATTAAAATATATTATATATTATGCACTTTATATTTTGTATATTTTGACTCTTATTATATAAATATATACTAAAAATGCCATTAATTGACAGCCAAATTTATTAATGCTAACTGAAAAAAAAAAAAAAAAAAAAAAAAACTTTTTGGGAAATTTCCACTGTACTTTTTCTATCTACCCTACAATCTGCACCTGCTGCGTATCTAACATCCACATGCAATCATAACATTCATCGCCCAATTTAATAATAATAATAATAATAATAATAATAATAATAAAATTATATAATTAATTATTTTTACTTCTATAATAAATAAAGTTCAAAGTCAAGATGACTGGTGGGGGTCGATAAATGATAAATATAACTTACAAGAAACGAGATTCGACTGAAAATAAACCGATGAAAAAGGGTCATTGAGAATAAATCCGATGATTTTGAAACTTTGATATACAATCATATTTAGGAACAAGATTCTGAGTATGTTTTTATTTCAATCGTATATACAAACAATAAAAAATAAATATTATGTATCATGGAACTTACAAATAAAATATATATATATAAAAGAAAATATAAAATGAAATGGCACTTAATTAGATCTACACAGAAATTATTGTCTGCAAAGCTGCACATTGGATATATTTTTTTAAGTCCTCCACCATAAGTTGTTATATATATTTTATCAAAATAAATAAATATATATATATATATATATATATATATATATATATATATATATATATATATATATATATATATATAGATTCAAGTTCAACTTTAAGATGAAATTCAAATTATTACTACATGTTGATGAAAAATATATCTTTTAATTTGTTCACTTTACAGCTTCACCATTATCTGGAACCCTATTATCTACCTTATAAAATATTGTAACTTTGATCATTTAATTTGCTTTATTACAAAAATAATCCTCTAAGGCGTAAATTTGTCGGGTCAGTTCGAACTTTTTGACGAGCTCTTATAACGCAGTTCATTTATTTATTTTTAACTACAAATACACTAATTTAAAATTAATCTAATAAGAAGTTATAAAAATAAATTAATTTTGTCACTCTTATTATAATATAATAATTAGTTCAAGTTCGACCTTAATATTAAAATTTGAGCACAAACTAAAATAATTAAAAAAAATGGATCAAGCTCGTGAAAATGTACTTGAAATAAATAAATTGAAATAAGTACTTGAAATAATTCACCAAATATGTTTCCCAAATAAATAAATTGAAATATTCCCAAACAAATAATTGCTCCTGCAATTTCTGCTTTATTGGAACAATTGTCAAAATTTTTGACATTTTAGCAAAATTCAAAAAAAAAAAAAAAAAAAAAAAACACCATTCCGAAATGTTTTGTTCCCAATTAGCAGAGCAACATACCATCCATCAATCAGTCACCTGCTGTGGGTAAAAATCCAACGGTTAATAGAATGCCACGTCATCCTTCTGCCAGATCACTCTCCATTACATGTACAAGTGAATAATAAGTACTATTTGGATTGTTTTTATAATAATTTTGAAAAAAAAAATTTATAGTACCATGACATGACATAACAACCAACAACCCGTGGACAAAATATATGTTCGATTTTCTCATCATCCACAAATAAGTAGAATTTAGACCGTTGCTTTTGTTAATCATTGTGTGACTATTTTTACTTATGATTGATTTCTTTAGATTCAAATTAGTGTTTGGAGAGCTTATTTCGTGTTCATATAAGTCAAACAAATTAGTGAAAAACCTCGACGCTTTTGTTGAAGAAAAATATATTAAGTATTGAAGTTTTGCTAGGTCGCTGTGTGGTGGAATATTGTGCACTTGTTGCTGTTGTGGCAACACATACAAATTCGCTATAAAAATCTCAGGAGAGGTTATCCGTCATCTGAAGGAAATTCAGTCTCAGAGAAATTGCAAGAAAGATGATTTGTGGGAAGAAAAAAGACGTTCGAGTTTTGTCCAAGAGCGACGTAGAATCTAAAAGCGATGCTTTAATATTTTAATAAGTCTTATATATTAAGGTCACCGTACATCTAAAATAGTAAAATCTTGTTTGCAGGTTCTCGTTTTTGTAGGTCATTTTTGTGTCCGAACCGACAAGAATTATAGTTTTAACATACTACTATCTTCACAAGTAAGTTGTTACAACTAAATAAGATTGATTTATATAGCTATTATAAATTAACAATTACCATTACTTTTCTTAAAGTGTTGGTTGAAAAGTCATTTTTTTTGGTACGAAATATTCAAGTCAATGTAGAGAACTGTAATTTGTTCTTTGTCATATACAGTAGTATCTCGATAAATTAATAATCTTGTTTAGATAATAATTTTCTCGATCCCAACTTCCTTAAACGTGCTAGAGAAAACGCTAAACTAATAGAATTTGATAGATTCCACCTATATTAATTTATAAATGTATAACTGTTTATATTTTCTTACAATTCAACCATACATTTTTTTTTGTCGAGGGTGAAAATAGTAAAAACGCAAGCCAATCAATCAAACATTGTAGCTACATTTTATTTCAAACTCTTAAATAATAAATGAGGCCACCAACTATAGAATGGAAGGAGTACTAAAAATCAATTAAATAGGAAATATATTTAATATAATCATTACATCGCTCAGTCTGAGAGGTCAAATGGTAATAAATAATGAAAAAAATTTGATGAGTATTTAATGTTAAGGTTTATTTAATGAAGAGAGAACTCTTTACTTGTCTTCAAGGGCAACAACAACACCACCACTCACATATTGACTTGTATTTATTTCTCACCATTATTGCCAATTGCAATATTCATCATCGGTCTATTCTATGCTACATGGGGTAAAATAAACGGGGTAGATCTTAACCATTCGACAACCATACTTATGTATACATATTTTACACCAATTATATATGGTTATACTTGTTGGTTTAGTTTTTTATTTTTTTATTTTGTCATTTATCACTATTAATTATTTAAAGAAGAATTAATTGAAAAATAAATAGAAAAATACGAAAAAGCCCTCTGAAGTAAAGTCTAATCACGAACACCCTCCTCATGTTTGAGTAATTATGAAAATCTCCCTAAGATATGATGCCGTCTTTCAACATAATCTTTTTGATTCTATGGAATAATTTTTCTGAAAATGTCATTTCTGCCTTTTAACATGTGACAAATGTAAGCATATTAATTACTTAGCGGATAGATTGTAGTAATATATTTAAATACATATAGTTACTTTTAACTTTAAAATATAAAAAGTTATATATAAAAAATAATTAAATATATCTTGTAATATTAAAAGTTTTTATTTTTATTTTTTGTTTAGATTTTTATAATTTTTTATTCAAAGAAATCGATTTTACATATTTTATAATATTTTTTATATAAAATTGATTTTATGTTACAAATATTTCATTATTATTAAATAAATTTTTAAAAACTCGAACAAGCTTCTTGCACAACATACCTCGGGAGATTTACATATATCGCATACATGGGAAATTTTCATAATTAGACATTACTTCAGATGTTCTCGTAACTCATTTTTTGTTTTTTCTCAAATAACATAAGGGTAAAATAGAAAGAAATAAAAATACAAATATATAGCTGAATTAATGCCTAGTTTTTTTAAATTAAACCCACTATCTTGGTAATTGAAAGTCATTGCAATTTGCACACCACTCCATATAAAGTCCAATCTTCAAAGTTAATTTCTTCATTTATTTATACACTTTTTTCTAAGCACACTTATCTATAAACCAAACTCCACTTTGTGTGATTTAAATAATATTATTAATTTAAGAAAATATTAAACTATTCAAATAGTTAAACGTTAATTATTTAATTAATCATTACAAAATATGCTCAACCAAACAAAGCCTAACAAGAACCAAATAACTTATACACAAACTTTGGAAGCAATACCATCATTAAATTGAAGTTAAGCTTAAAAAAAATACACACCACTAAAATAAAAATAGCACCAAAAAAGAAATTAAAAAAACACACAATGCCAACAAAACTAGACCCTCTAAATTGTCTTAATTAAAAAGATTAAAGAGCTAATCTCAAATACTAAGAAGATCTTGTGGAGGAGGTGATGAGATAGGCATCTCTTGTTCTTGATGACCTAATTTTACCTCCGAACCGGAATCTCCGGGCAGCTCGGTCAGCATTTGGACCACCTCGCGCATGGTGGGCCGCTCCACCGCCTGCTCCTCCACGCAAAGCATCGCTACGTAAAAGACATGAGTCACCTCGTGGAGCGGGACCCGTTCGAGCCTTGGATCAAGAACCTTGACCGCCCCTTGTTTATTCCCTTCGGTCATTTTTCTCACCCATTGGACTATGTCCACACCGTCACCAAACTCTCCAACGGGCTTTCGACCCGTCACGAGTTCTAATAGAACCACACCGAAGCTGTATACGTCGCTCTTTTCGTCCACTTTGAGCGTGTAGGCGTATTCTAGAGAGAGAGAGAGAGGCGATTAATTAATAAACGTGTAATCGAAAATCAACAAATATATGTTTCCATGCATGACATGCTCCCTCCGTTTCAAATGGTTGGTGCACACGTATTAAAAAAAATTAACGTAATAAATATACGTGAAACAAATACTAAAATACCCTTTCTCCCTTAATAATTACTTCACAACTAATTCAGAGTGATAAAGGGCAAAATTGCGAAAATGGTAATCATGCATCATTAGAATTGTTTTAAAACGACAAAATAATACATAATAAAACTTTTCTAAAGCGACAATTAATTTCGAACGGATGAGAATAATTTTCGGGCCGTTTTCGAAAATTTAGTATTTTATATAGAAATTTGTAAATTTAGTTTACATTTAATTTGGCCCTCTATAAACATAACCTTTGCTACAAATGAATTGCTACTCAATAATAAACCTAATTGCTAACCAAAACAAATTAAATAGCATAAACAAACATAATTATCTCCAAAAGCACATCAAATTTAAATGTAACCAAAAAGCATTTTCATAACAATGTAATATACCTGGAGCAATATATCCATAAGAACCGGCAATTGCCGACATACACTCCGATGTACCGGAATCTTGCAAGAACTTTGCCAAACCAAAATCCGCCACGTGGGCTTCGAAATTCGAATCGAGTAGAATATTATTCGACTTCACGTCACGGTGCACGATCAAAGGCGAGCAATCGTGGTGGAGATAGCACAACCCCTTTGCCGCCTCCACGGCAATCTTATACCTAGTCTCCCAAACCAAATGCCCCCCCTTCTTCCCGTGAAGCACCTCCCCCAAACTACCGTTCGGCATATACTCGTAAACCAAGAGATTCGTTTCGCCGTTCGAACAAAACCCCAACAACCGAACAATGTATCTATGCCTGATTTTCCCAAGGGTTTGTATCTCGGCGTTGAACCCATGGTCGTGGGCCCCGCCTCCGCCGCCGCCACGGCCGCCCACCGCCGGCGGAAGCCGCTTCACCGCCACATCACCGCCGCCGCCGGAAGTCGCCGCCTTGTAGACGACCCCCGCGCCACCTTTACCGATTATGTTATCGTCTTTGAGGCAATCTAGAATGTCGTCGCACGTGAAATCCAATCTTTGGAAAGCGGTTAGCTTCCAAGAGCGGGACCCACTACCCTTCTTCAACGATCGGGCTTTGAATACCGCGGCGATAGCAAATACAATCGAACAAACTAGCAACCCCGTAACGAGGAGAAGCTTCATCGAAGGGGAGAAACTAGCACTCCCCTTCTCGTGGGCCCCACTGGTTCGGGCAATACCGTCTCTGCATGGGCCTAAGTAGGGCCCGCAGAGATCCGGATTGCCCAGAAACGAGGTCCGGTTAAAGTAACTGAATTGGCCGGTCGCCGGTACCAAACCGGAGAAGTTGTTGTAAGAGAAATCGACGGATGTTAAACTTTGCATGCCCGAAATCGAAGAGGGGATATTCCCCATTAAATTGTTCCTCGATAAATTCAAGTAATTCAATATTTTCATACTTGTGATCTCGGTCGGAATGGGGCCCGAGAGACGATTATGGCTGAGATCGACGAAGGTCAAAAGCTTGCATCGGCTTATCTCCGGCGAAATCTGGCCGGAGAAATCGTTCCGGCTGAAATCAATCTTCGAGAGCTGCTGCAGCTTCCCGATTTCCGCCGGAATCTCTCCGGAGAATTTGTTTCCGTCGAGGAGGAGCTTCTGCACGGCGGCGAAATTGCCGATGCTCGGCGGCAATCGGCCGGCGAGGTGGTTGTTGGAAAGACTAATTTGCCCCAGGGTGGTTGACAATATTCCATCGGTGTTGGGAAACTCGCCGGAGAGAAGATTGTCTTGAAGCTCCACCTGTGTTAGCTTCGGCAAACTCAGGAGGCCTTTTGGGATTGACCCGTTTAGATAGTTTTCGCCCATCCGGATCCGACCCAGTGACCCGCACCGGCCCAGTGAATCTGGTATCGGGCCGAATAAAAAGTTTCCGAGTGTGATTAATGTGTTGAGCTGATTACCGTTACAGAGATTTGGGGGTAAATTTCCGGTTAATTTGTTGGAGCTTAAATCGACTTCTTCTAGGTTTCCGTTGTCGCCTAAATTTTGGGGGATGATTCCGGTGAAATTGTTTTCCCAGAGCTGGAGCACCTGCAATTCCGGCAGATCTCCGATGAAATCAGGTATCGAGCCGGTGAATTTGTTCCGGAAGAGATTTAAGAGAGTGATGTTCTGAAGCTGTGAAAATGACGGCGGAATTTCGCCGGAGAGGATGTTGTTTGACAGATCCATTGATTTTAAGCTTTTCAGGTTTCCTAGCTCCGGCGGTAAACCGCCGGAGATGCCGTTCACTTGGAGGAAAAGCGTGTCGAGGTTCTGTAGATTGCCGATTTCTGCCGGAATTTGGCCGGAGAGGCCGCAATTGGCGGCGTCGAAGCGGATTAGGTTTGATAAATTGCCGATTTCCTTGGGTATTCCGCCGGTGAATGTGTTGAAGTAGCCGATGTAGAGCTCCTTGAGGTGAGTTAGGTTTCCGATTTGGGGCGGAATAGCGCCGGTGAGCTCGTTGCCGGAGACGGCGAGGTACTCGAGGTGAGGGAACGAGCCGAACTCCGGGGGGAATACGCCGGTGAAGAAGTTTCCGCCGAGGTGCAAATGGCGGAGATTGGTGAGGAGATACGCCTGCGAAGGGAAATCTCCGGTCATGTTGTTGTTGTACACGTCGAGAACTTCGAGGTTTTTCAGGTGGTAGAGCTCCGCCGGAAAACTGAGGTTGAATACATTGTTGGAGAGATTGAGGTGACGGAGGTTGGGGATGTCGGAGATTTGCGGCGGAATAGGGCCGGAGAGAAAGTTGGCGGCGGCGGAGAAGTTGACGAGGAACCTGAGGCGGCCGACGTCGGGGGAGAGGACGCCGGCGAGGCTGAGATTCGAGATGTCGAGTGATGCCACGCGCCGCCCGGACGCGTCGCAGGTGACCCCCCGCCACGTGCAGTGGTGTGTGGTGGCGTTCCACGACGCGAGCGCCGACTGAGGGTCGTCGGTGATGGCGGCTTTTATGGACAGCAATGCTCGGTATTCCGGCATGTGCGGCGGCGTTGCGGCGGCGGAGCCGCCGATGTGGAGGTGGAGAACGAGAAACAGAAGTAGGAGGAAACGCATTTTTCGTGTTTCTAGTGTTTTCTTTTTTCTGTGTAGTTTTCTGATTTGAAGTGAAGAAGAAAGGGGGGGAAAGTGTAATTACATTGAAGATTAGGGGGGGAAAGTATGAAATCTTATTTTACTTTTTGCAATTTGTCCTTTTTCCTTTTGGATTATGGGTTATGGGGATTGTTTGGATGTTGGAATTTGGGAATCGGAAAAAAGGGTATGAAAAAACAACAAGATTTTGAATATCTGGTTTTGTGAAAATGTACGTATATTATATAACGTAGGAATCAGGGAAAATTTGAATATTTAATTATTTTATTATTTTTATTATCCAAAAAGGGGAATAATCTTTTTTGTTGTCTTAAAAGTGGCATTATTTTTGTAGTTTAGTTTTTTTCTTATTTAGTTTGCTTCAAATAATACCAATTCGGACAACATATAGATGGATAGCGTTTTTCATGACCGGTTAAAGATAAAGCAAGGATGGGAATCTCCCCTTTTAGCATTTTGGTCATTACCCAAAGGTTTATTATTATTACAAACAACTTAATAATGACTAGTTATTTCTAGGACCATCGATTGAGTCGGGTATAATCGAAGTTAGATGGTTCAGTCTGATTATATTTGAGTCGAACTTGATTCTTAGTGAGTCGAGTCGAGTTTGAGTTATTTTATCAAATTTGAGATATTTGTGAGACGAGTTGGAGCCTAATTAAGTTCATAATTAAATATATGATATATTAATTATTTTAATGATATGGCTTGACATATAAGTTACAGTTTTAATAGATTATTTTATTTTGCGGAAAAAAAGTCAAAATAAATAGGAAGTAAGTGGTAACGACTACAATAGTAGTTAAATAAGAATCACGTGAAAGATCCTCACTCAAACCTATCTGTTGAAATTATCACCGAGATTTGAGAATATAATTTTTTGTCAATAATAAAACATACTAATCTTCTGTTACTTCTTTCATTTTGGACTCTGATGCATTGTTGGTAATATAATTACGTAAAGATTATACATTTACAATATTAAACTTCATTTGTTTCAAGGAATAAACTATAATTTTCATCTTATTTCGCAACTGTGGTTTATATTTCATTTTTCTTTCTATGAATATTTTTTAGGGGTCTCCAGCTAATATCCCCTATAATAAATATTCACTATAAATATTGAATGGTTGTCACAATTTTTTAACTATATATAAATACATAGAAATATTTATTTACTATTTAAAATACATCTGTTATATTGTACATTTGTACTTAATTCTCTTAAGCACCAGTGCAAGAAAGAATAACTAATGATGGAAGATTATTAATCATATTTAATTTGGTAATTTAATCAGTATAAAATGTTTTTCACAGTACTATATATATTCTCGTACCACAAGATTGTGAATTTGATCTGAGTGGAGTGGAGCATGAACTCTCAAAAAAAATACAAAATAATCCAAAATAATAAATAATTAAAAGAAAAGGGTAAATTCGTCATTATAACAGCCATAATTTTGCTTGTTTGGACAAAGGTGGTCAAACAATGTTGACTGACGTGGACTTTGACTGACACTTATTAACACGTGGCCCCTTTAATGTTAATTATATTTTCATAATAGCCCTCCTAATTTTATGTCTCTCTCATCCAAGGATATGAAACAGACTGTACATAAATGTGGGCCAAGTTTTTTAAGGCCCATTCAAACTTTATTGTAGATATATAAATTATGATTCAATTTTGCTTTTTAGAAATTAATTAAAATGTTAATATTACTAATTACATCACCCTCGTGGAGGTTTGAATTTCTTTGCTAACTGTCGTTAGGTCGAGTTTGTCATATGTGGTTAGCCTATTGTGATTTACATTTCTCATGTGGTTTGAAAGTTATTATATGAGAGTGTAGGTTTACCCAATGCACCTATATGATTGGTTGTGGGTTCCTTTACTACCGAAAAAAAAATACATAAATAAGAATTGTCTCGTGTTGTATTATAGTACTAAATTATGAGCACATGATAAGTACTCAAGTACATAACATGTCTAATTGGATTACATTTATAATTACTCGTATTAGCATATATTAACTTTAAACAAAATCAAAATACGGAATTCGGAATTCTTACATTATTTTGTACAAAAATACAGTTTCTGATGCACTACAATTTGATGTTTACAAGCCTTAGAATCATCTTGTTTCAAAATATGGATATCGAATTAAGTAAAACGGTTACAAATTAAAGAATATTGCACATAATATAAAAGATTTCACTAAATTTGACATCGCATGTGTTGATGTATAAGAAGATTCATAGTTGAGGGAGTTATTGTAAATATCCAAACATAAGAATTTTTTTTTGTAATCTGACCTTCTAATTTATCATTTCTTTTAATGCAAGTTGACAAATCCTAAGGTCACGCAAGAAGAGTAACTAATTTTTTTATTTTTTTTTTATCAAAAGAAAAAAAGAAAGAAAAAAAAAAGATGACTCCTTTTCGCTATTGGTAATATTATTAAGGGTGCAAATTTAGATCGGATGGCCTGTTTTAATAAAAAAATCGGATGCCCATGGGATGATTGACACGTAAATAGTTTAAATAAAAATATAATTAGGATTTTAATAATTGAAAAAAAAAAAAAAACTAGTAACCCGTAACCCCTCTAACCCTAATTATAATCAGCGTGATTTATTAAGAATTAAGACTTAAAAGTGCGACGTATCAAAAAATTAGTGTAATCCGATTTATATTAAATATCAGCTGATCCGCTCAGAATTTAATCTCTACTATTAAAAACAACTCATTCGTAGACAAATAGGATGCAAGAAACACCTAAAATGGTGGTCCATAAAACGGCAAATGGGAATAACTACCACCACTCCATTTTTCAAGCAAAAAAAAAAAAAAAAAAAAAGCGTGGCTTCACTATTATTTAATGGATGAATTAACATATTTAGTTGACATAAAGAATTCATAGCATGCGCAATTGTTCCGATGGAGAGAAAGAAACTATGATTAGCTTTTCGGGAAATTTTCAAACGAACAATTTCAACGAAATCTTTCAATTTCTTATTTTACTATGTTCAACTCTGTGTATTCCTCTATCCGTAGAGTAGAAATGGCTTGAACAGAGTTTTTCTTTTTCGTATTAACAACTACTCCATAATGAATGTATAAGTGAATATTCGTCATGAAAAAAACTACTATCACTTAGGTACCTTAAATTCTCAAGTCACATTTACATACTTAGTAGTTGATATCCCTTCGTATCTTATTAATTATTAAAATTATTGTTATTATATATCTTTGGATAAACAAGATGATTAATGACTAATTAACTCCAAATTTGTCCAAAAAAATTGTTCCAACGAGGAGAGTTTAATTATGGATCTAGCAAGAAGACATCATCATGTAATAATGCATGGGATAAAAATCTAGCTTATTAGGTAACAGTTATTGTCAGCAAATGGTCACCCACGTATATATATATACTAAGAATCACCACTCATCATTTCAGCATTATTAGTTTCGAAATTGTCTTTATATATATATATATATATATATATATATATATATATATATATATTTTGTTTGAAAAGAGACAGGTCTGATGAATAGACTAGAGCTGCTATAAACCAATTAACTTGTCTGATATATGCAGTATGTATTGTCCTGCTCTTTGTCCAAATCCAATAAAACTGCAAAAGAATTCAGTAACACAATATATATATATATATATATATATATATATATATATATATATATATATATATGACTTTATTTCAAAACATATAATTTAGATAAGGTTCTTTTAACTGAAATCCAATTCATGGGAGTAACTTTCTATGAAATTAAACATTGTTTTCTGGCATATCAGTTGTCCTAACATCACAACATAGATATACGGCGACTTATATTCGTCGAAAATACTAAAATTATGATAGTTAAATTCAGGTACATAAATTCATACGATCGTGATTATCTATCCCGAGCAAAATTTAATTTAAAAAACCAAGTCCAGAGAGAAGAGTTTTTTCTTACATGTAAAATCGTGTGTGCGATTAAAAGTTCCCGAAGCCAATCGAAATTTCCTTCTCTTCAGTGGTGTCTGCAAAAGCTTATTGAAAAGCAGAAGTTGGTGATGTGAGATCAGTTAATATTAAATGTTTATTTCTACAAGCGGAGCGTGTTTACAAATACGTTGGAAATCAGCTTTAATTTGAAAAAGCAGGTTTAGAAGTGCTTTTCAAATTATAGCCTAAAACAACTTATTTTAAAAGAAGCAGAAAGCAAAAGCTGATTTTGCAAACACCTTGACTTAACAACTCTTAATGACTTAACAAATGAATTGAGCTACAAAAGAATGAGCTTAAATCCCATTTGCCCTAAAACAAAAATTAAATCTATTTCAATTACTCCTAAAACTACTTGAAATATGTACATTTGAAGAGAGAGAAAGAAGAAATGAAGTAGCACTAAAACTGCCTTCTTCCCTTAAACTTTGAAGCAGCATCCGCAGGAAGATTACCAAAATAACCTCTGGATGCATCTCTCTTGCTACCCATTCCGATACAAGAATCCATGTTCACTTCTTGCCTATTATTCACTACCCACGAATCCTGTATAAAAATCACAAGTATCAAACCACGCCATTTATCTTATTCACGGTTTTTTTTTTTTTTAAAGAATAATTTGAATACCTGTTGTTGATGAAGAGCACCGAAACAAGAACTTGGTTGATTGCCATACCACTGCTGATTGGCTGATATGTAATAATACGATGAATGGTGCTCCTCTCGGAAGAATCCGGGTGGAATATTCCTTTTTTCCACGGCGGGAGATCTTAAACTGAATTCTCCATCTTGAGGAGAAAATCCAGGTGACGATGCAGCACTAGGTTGACCGTTTAATACTGAGTGATGTGATGGAGGGTATCTTTCGGAATACGGGTTTGGGCTGTGGGCGCAGTTAGATAGCCCGAACGGTGCTGACATCTGGATGTCTTCGAAGGTTATTCCTTGCTTTGCTCCGAGCTCTACTATGTGCTTTTCGTCGAGCCCTAAGCTCATGAGAAGATTCCATAGATTTCGCTGTGCTTCTCTTTGGCTGTAAATTATTTGATCCCTTATTGCCATTTCGAATTGAAGTTCGGTGTTGGAAATTCCCTGTGCGGTTGAAGTAAAAGAAAGGAAGAAAAAAAGAGAGGAAATATGAGTTGTTTCTTATCAGTTTTCAGAAGGAATAATAATACTTCGGAAGCAATCTTGAAAAACGAAGAACACCATGTGAGTTGCTGTAAAAAATTTAATTGGAGAGAAAAATTACTAGAAATATACTCTTGGTGGAAATAAGCATGCATGAGATAAGGATGCCGAGACTTTGATTTCGGGCAAATTGCAGTAAATCTTTCTTAGTTAAAAACACGAATACTACGGCAAAAAATGTTTTACCAGCAGACGGTATTGACTCAGAATGCCCAAATAGGATTTGTTGCCATTGTTTCTAATGGCTTCGTCGATCATAGCTTGCAGTTGACACCTACGTTTCTCATTCTCCTCAATTTCCTTCATAATATATAGCAAACGATAAGTTTGATTGTAAAAATCAAGGACATAAATATAATACAGAAGATATGGGAACAAATTAAACCAGGGGTACAACCTTGTGGTAACTAACATCAAGTTCATCGTTATCACGAATATTATCAAGAATCACTTGCCGCCTTGCTTGCAAAGTCTGTACAACAGCTCCATCATTTTCTATAACCTGAAATTTAAAAAAAAAAAAGTTGTATAATAATAATCTATTTTACAAGGCCAACTCAGCAAAGGAGCGACTGTGTAACCTGTTGTCTTGCAATAGCATCATCAAGGTGTTGGAGTTCCTTTCTATTCCGAAGATTAGTTTCTTCGAGTTCGATTAGAGCCTTCTGTAAATTTATCCTTTCCTGGACATTTTCACTGGTTTCTTGACTCAGTGAGTTCAACCAAGATGTATCATTATCCGATGTTTTTTCAGTAGGTTTGGCGTTAAGCTGAGAATCTTTTTCAGCTAATTCCTTTCTCAACCGGCTAACCTCACCCTGCAAAATTTAATTGATTTCTCAGATTACAATAGGATTTGTGTAAGGGAATATATATATATATATATATATATATATATATATATATATATATATATATATATATATATATATATAGATTACGAGGAAACAATAATTACCTGAAGATTGTCAATCATCTTCTGATAGTCTGATACATGAGCATTTATCGTGCCTATGTTTTTCTGAGAAACATACTATTAGTGTCATTAGTACGTATATTCCAAAAGACAACCATGTTAAAATTGATACAAATGTCAACTATTTCAGTATTGCACTAGTTTTAAGTAAACTGTTGAAATGGACCCATTAGCACATCCACTTGAGTATATGACGGGATTTAAATACGGACAACATTGCTTTTAGTTTCATATATACTACAGAGCAGTTGTTACTTTAATGGAAATATGATATTTTTTTCTCACCTGGATATGTGTCTTAATTTCCTTTGCTCGGTCAGCATACTTCAAAGTATTGACCGTATGGTGATACTGATTGTCAGCTGGAGATATGGTGGCTATCATAATTGTTTGAGAATTACCACTCAGACCATCTTTAAGAATCCGTGTCAACTTGCTGAAAGGAATTTCAATTTATAATCAGGAAGGATTTACCTTGACCAAATAAATATATTAGAGAGAGAAAGAAAGACCTATTTCGGTACGGCACATAAGCTAGGCCCTTCTTCTGTTGTTTCCCCAAAGCATTTATACAATTCGCTAAAGCGAGAAGTGATCGATTTATATTAGCGCCATCTCTCAATTTTTGGCCCCCACTATTTGTTTCGGATGCTCGTTCACTGCATTGCGAATTATCCAAGCCGTATTTCACACTTTCAAGCGAAGAAAGATTTGAAGTGTCTGAAATAAATACTGAATGAAGAAACAAACCTGCCAGCAAGATCCACTAATGCAAGCTTTCCTCTTATAACCTGGTTGGGATATTTCTTTTGCTGTTTTCTCATCACATTTATCTCCAGAACAGCATGGGAGCTATCATAAAAAGACATATAAATGTGTCGTCAACTCCTAGAGGAAGGTTGATATATTGAAAAAAAATAGGTCAGGCTAATCATCATGTATTAACTAATCACCAATACATAATAACAATAAAAAATAAGGTGTTTTCTCGACATTCTTCAGCGGCCAGTATTTTCCTCCACGTCTTTTGTACTATAGCAATATCTAATGAAGTGGTGAACAGTTACTAGTTGCACATAATTATATGAAATAAATTTGTAAATTGAGGAGCTATGAAAGGACCACAGAGAAGTAGACTCCAGCAGCCACTGCAAAGAGAGGATTTAAGGACGGTATACCTAAAGTTTGATAATACAAGTATATTCTTTTCAAAAAAAAAAAACTATGTATTATTTCAGGTCTCCATCCTCGTGACGAGGAAGCAAATTATCGAATTTTAGGGGGAAAGAAAATGGCAGCAAATTTATGGAAACTGGTAAATTAAAAGAAATTACCCACCGCGAGGAAGTTGCATTAACCTCTGTGCTTTCGGTCTTACGTCTACTGTTCCCCAAATGCAGAAGTTCAAGTATCCTATCAGCTGAATTTACCTGAGTACATGGAGGGATAACATTAAAGATGGACAAATGTGTTTGATATAAGTCTGCTGTACAGATAGAGAATTTGAAGGTATTTATACTAACTTAATGTGAACCCATTTGTAGTGAAAAAAAAGAGAGAAAATTGCCTTGATGCTTCTAAGGCCAGCAACAATTATTCCTTGTTCTGGATCCTCACGTAGTTCCAAGTGACCTGATGATTTTTCAAGCAAGTCGTAAATGACCTGCACGACAATAAAGTCATATATAGAGATAGATTCTTGTCAATCAAGTGTCGACCTTGATTTGATGAGAGAAAATACTTGAATGGCCAACCTCATTGTAGACTTCGAGGTATGAACAGGTAACTTCAAAATTATCAGAGCTGTTGTCTTTCTGAATGAGATCAAATATTGTGTTTAGACTGAGGACCATAAGTCCAGGGTCATCTCGAATTCCAACCATCGTATATGTTTTGCCACTGAGACAACATTAAAAAGGGGAAAAAGAAGGTGGTATATTAGCATTTGGAGGTACAATCACAAAGATTAGGCAAGTTCATTGTCTTTGTTCTAACAGAATGTATTCATATTCAACTAGAAGACAAAGGAACGTCATAATTATTAGTGATAAATCGTAAACGAAATATTATATAATAAGCAAAAACACGAGATAGCCCCGTGTTAAGGCATCTATGGAGAACGGCATAATTAATGGTCATAAGTCGTAAAGGAAATATTATGTAATGAGGAAAAACATAAAATAACCCCAGGTATCCGAGTGTTAAGGCATCTAAACGGCACATAAGGTTCCAAAAATTATGCAAACAAATGATCTCATAATCATCATTAATATCTTGTTCTCGGCGAATTTACAAGCGAAAATTGACATAAGCTGACAGAGCTGCAAATTGCAGATCAGAACAAATCTGAATTCCGTTTAGTAATGATATGGGCACTGAACTTGTTCGTATCGGACAAATAAATAGTATTAAACAAGAAAAGAAACTTGAGGATAAAAAGAACTTGCGGACACAGATATAAAAATGTTGTCTCTACCACTTCCTCTTATAGTCTTCGTGTTTATTTATAATTCTTTTAATGTCCTGCTTGTGTTTCCTTCTACCTTATTTTAAGAGGATGTGTTGCATGATTTCAGAGCCATAAGAAAAGCTGATGCAATTATTTTTTCATGAGCGATGAATTACTTTACTATACACGATTATGTCAGAAGTTAAAAGCAGATTAGCAGTGATATGTAATTGCAAATTTGCAGGTCACAAATAAATCAGCAACATCAGCCAGAAGTCCAGAACAACTTGTAAACAAAATGTTTCCATTTATAGAAAATCCTAATAAAGGTGCACTAACTCTGTAAGTCAGTGAAACAGGTAGAATTCATTATAACCTTTCTCGACCTTTAATCCAATTATTACTGCAATTTGCTTTTAAATTCAAGTACCTTCCGGTGGAACCATAAGCAAATACAGTTGCATTGAGACCTTGCACAACCCCAGCAATTGTGGAACGTATACATCTCGTATAAACATCCTGAATAAAAGATTAAATTTCATCACATATCCTCATTTTTTTATCAAAAAAATTAATGTACAAAACCACGTATCGATCTCTATTGGCAACTATACTAACACGCACCTTACTGTCAAATTCTTGACCTGGACCAACTACAGATTCTATTGGTGTGTACGTATAAAGTCATAATTACATTCTAAAGCCCAATAATATAATTTACAGATACGCTATCGGTAAAGTGCTGACCATCTATTGAAAAAGGAAAAAAATCCAACGGAAAATCCTTGAAATGCATACTATAAGCAGATGAGAACATAATCGTATTCCACACCTTCTCAATAATTTTACCCTTTACAGTAAAACTTAGTGGAAAATATTAACCGTAAGTGTGCATTGAGATTAGCCTTCTCCACAGTAAAAATAGAACCTAAAAAAATGCTTTTAATAGCAATATGAAAATGCGCAGATTGCACGTACCAAATTTGAAGACTTAGGGCTAAATGCATAGTCAAAAGCGTATCTACGCTCCTTGGTTCGATTCTGTATGCGATCTAGGTAGCCCTTCGAAAGGTCAGGATCCAAAACAAGCACTTCCTACATTAACCATTAACTCCAAATTTCTCATCGACATTTTCCAATAAAAATACTGTTTCGGCTTTTAAATGAAAATTAAAATTACCTTGTCATCGTGCACTCTAACTATATCACGGCCTCGTTCTCTCCCAGTTAATGGCCTACATTTAACAGCCACCTATAATCAACCAAAAGAATCAGCAAAACAACGATACGAAAAACGAAAAACAAAAAACGGAAAACGGAAAACAGAGAAAATTTAAAACATAAATTTCTACGAGAATCTGAAAGGGAAAAGAGTGGACTAACACTAAGAGTTGTGGTTCTCTTGGTCGCTGGAGCTCTAATGCTTGGCATAATTGTTCAACATTCGTTTTCGAACTTCACCTTAAACTCATCTTCAAACTAATTAACACTAATTAACAAAAGCCTAATTACCAAAAGAAAAATTACTGTTCACAAAATCAAAAAAAATGTAGCTGAAAAAAAACACCTACACCACTGAATTGAAAACTGTAAACAGTAAATCACCTCCTCAAGCAAACCAGCCAATAGAAACACGAAATTAGGAAATTCAAAAACACAAACACTTCACTGAAAATAAAATAAAAAATAAAAAAAACAAAAACCACGCGCTCGTCACAAGCAGTGCATTTCAATCGACACGCCGGCGAATAATAAAGGCTACCGGCATATGAAAACTGCCGATTCAGCTGGATTATAAGGAAAACGGCGAAATACTCGCCGGAAAAAAAAAACCGAAAAAGCAGATTCAAAACAGAGAATCAAAAATCGCTTCCGATAGCAACGGAGATTTGAAACAGTAAGAAATCAACAACAGTTTGTTCCGACGGAGAAGAGAGAGAAATTCGGCAACGGTATTGCATTCAATCGGAGTTAATATGAATTGAATACTGGTTTTATTTTGACGCGGTAATAATCAGAAAAAATGAAATATCCAAAATTTATTTTATTATTTTATTTATGTAATTTGTTTTTGTTTTCTAATGGTGTCGCTATTACACTGTGGCCGTTGATTTTAGGAAGAAGAAGGGTAATTTGGTAAATTCAGTCATGGGGGGGTGGGGGTTGCCGATGGGGGTGTTTCTGAACATTTGTTTATTAATTCCAATGACTTCTTTCAAGTATTCGATTTTTGTCGAACTAAATATTCAAATTATATTTAACTAAATAATAAAAAAAAAAAAAAAAAATTAAAGGTTTGAACTCATAAAATAAAGGTGTGATGAATTAATTAGTTGACTCGATTCGATAAACACTCGCAAATCACGAGGTTTAAGTAAGTGATTAGCTGAGTTTTAGCTAATTTTAATTTGGTTAGATACTTAATAAATATATTTTTTTATAAATAATAATATAACAACATATTAAAACTTTTTAATTTACTGTAAATATATGCTAAGGTATTACCGCTAATACTTAAAAAGAAAAGAAAAAATAAGACGATCTAATTTAGAACTTGAGATATTTTACGAAAATAAGCTGAAACTCAAAGTTTGTCTGCGAACACTACAATTTCTAAAAATAAACAATTATTCAAGTCTTACTCATAATTACCAATTTCTATTAAAAAGGAAAAATTGCAAACATCACCTTATTGGTGAGCTTAAACATCAGATCCAATAATGGTTCATCACACTTCTAAGATTGCAATCCTAATTTTTAAGATCAGCAGTTAGGGTTTACGTCTTTTCCGACACTAATTTTTATATATATAAGTAAGAAACACTAGGGCAAACTAAAAAAATATAATGGGATGTTTGTATTTTTTTTTTAAATTAATTATTATAATTATTTTCATCTTTTTTTTTCTCTAATAACTTTCATAGCAAATTAAATTTGCAAATACACTAACATAATCCTAATATGCTCGGATAGTGTTTGTTTTTTTTTTTTTAACTTTTTTTTCTCTCACTTACATCGATGCAGATTATTTTTTTATAATACAATTTAATTATCATATATTTAAATTGTGATAAGTGATAGCGTCTAGAGTCATACAAATGTCGACGTTAATCAATTGTGAGTTGCCTATACCCAGGTTTACTTTACATGGACAATTGTTGCCATATTATTTATACATGTGTGTGTATAATATATATATATATATATATATCACATAAATGTAGTGTGTGCAGTTTGGGATCTCCAGCTTGCTATTACAAAATTGGAATCGAATTTGTAAACAAATTTGGTAAGTACATTTTGCCAGCCCACATTTAATTTATTTCGTACTTTATGATCTGAATAAATCGGCATAATTATCGGCACTAAAAATGCATTAAATCACCCAATCTCGTTTTTATGTCTCCCTACTTAATAATTGTATTACATGCACTTCTTTTTCTTTTCCCCTTATAAACAATGAATTCTTACTTGTGTTAAAAGAAAATATACACCAAACTTCATTTTTTATTTTATCTTTATTTATTGTTTTGCGCAAAAGTTGTTAATTATAGGAGAGTTTTGGTGCAGGTTTTCCTTAATAAAACGTGTTTTTTGCACGGATTTTGTCACAGTTTTCGCAAATTAAATTAGGTGCATCGTGTATTATATCGTTGCAAAACTTATAAATTAGTTCGATAAACTAAAGGGGGGAAAAACTAAAGAAAAAAGGAAACACACAACTTGAATTATCTACAATTTAAAAGATGTTTGAAAAATTGAAACTCAAAGAGAAATAAATAGGCATGAACTTAGGACATGCAACATTTATGTTAGGTAAAGAATTAATGAGAAGATTATGACAATACACAAAACACATTAATTTTCGAGTATGGATAGTTTGTTCTATCGTCACTGTCTAACACACGTGGTCCAAATATCTCTTGTGGTTAATTATCATAGTTACCATGGCCGAAATCTATATATACGTGTATATAGCGTCGATAAATTAATAACTTCATTTAAATAATAGTCTCTCTGGCCTCGACTCGGTGAAAACATATATATTATTCAAAAATCTTCAAACCAACTAATTCAAATATTTTTTAATCTCAAACCTAAAAAATCTTACATTTGATTCACCTTTCCAAAATCAACACATACCAGTAAGTAATAAGACGGTGATTGACTAAGCTTATAAGCTATCAAAACGTGCTTGTAAGATATGTAAGCTTATAAGGCTCTTTCAAAGTATTTGGTAATTTTTTTATAAAAAAGAAAATCTTAAAAATTGAAAAAATAAACTGCCGAAGAACGAAAAGTTTTATTATCATCTCTTAAAATAACTTATCGGACGTGAAAGCTTATCAATTATAGAAAATAAGCTTAGCCAAACGATCCCTAAATACCAGATAAATACCAACTTTTTCCATGATCAGATTATTTCGCAGTCTTGAAACCACTAATCCAAAATTTTCCATTTCGACAAAAAACATAATAAAAAAATAAATTCACACAGCCAACTGTCAATGTAGTGATAAACCAGACATAATTATTAGTTATTAGTCTCTACACAAAAGAAAAGACTTGCCTCCCCACACCCAACTTTTCATTAAAAAGATCAACCGAAAATGTTAGAAACTATTATCAAGATTCGAGATCTACCTATTTAAAAGCTAAAATCAATAAATTACATATTCACCCTCTGATAAAGGTAAAAAGAAATAAAGAAATCAAATCGAAAATCTGTCAGTGCCCCTCACTTCAATACACAATTAGAACTGGAGATCGATGACTAATCCACGTACCTCGTAACTAATGTATTCAATCACTGCCATTCTGAGGGATTTTTTGAGCTGCTTCTCAAAATATCGGGTTTCATTTTACTATTTCAAATCGTTGGTGGGGCCCGGCTCAGCTTGCGCTTCATTTGGGTATTTTAGGAATTAATGGCCCATCTTGCGCTTCTTAGCCATTCGCATCCGTTCTCTTTTTTCCTCCTCTTCAATCAATCGGAGCTGCTCTTCATCTTCTTTACGGGCAATTTTTGCACTGTAACAGTAAACACAAACATCAATAGAGTCCAGACTTAGTATAAATATTTGCTGTTTGAATGAAACACCGTAAAGAACAAGCAAAATACACCATTAATTCATTGTCGTTTATGATTTTCTTAAAATACTGGAAGCTTGGAGCAGGAACTAATTTCCAGAAAATAAAATTATATCATTACCCAACAACAGAAGAATATCACACTGACCTGCGTTTTTCCTCCCTCTGTATATCTTCAAAATTGGCCTCCATGTCACTAACATCATCATCATCTCTGAACTTGTTCGGATTATACCTAAAATAATAATAAACGGCAAAAATGCAAGATTAACGTTCAGAAAACAAAATAAGCATCACTAAAAAATATTAGGCATTAATCATTACGAGAGGCGAAAGGATCGGGAAAAAGAATGGCAAGGTAAAAAGAAAAGAAAAAAATCGGTAGTTACCTGAACATTTGTCTGATCATGCTTATAGCATTTTCACCATCAGAATCTTCATCACGAAGCTGCCTCTTAGGTGCTGGTTTCGGTCTTTGATCTACCGATGTACTACGAACTGGTGGCTTCGATACTGGCCGCTTCATCTGTCAAAACAATAAAAACTTAAAACCCAATTGCATTCCAATGCTAAACAAATTTCACAGTGACATGCTTATATATACCTGATCTCTAGAGGAAGGGGGCAATGTCTGTTTCGCCACAGCATTTGGCCTCTGCGTTTCTTGATATTCCTTTTGTACTGGTCTCCTCGAAACCGAAGGTTGACCAGAAGAAGGAGTTGGTCTACGAATGCCAGGTGGTGGATTCGAGGCCGTTGGTTTACGCACAACAGATTGCATGGGTGAAGGGGTGGTTGGTTTTTGAACCCTACCCACCACAGTATTTCTGGCAACAGCTGTGGGGGCCTTCGCTGCAGGTGGCCGCACTGGACTCTTTGAAGGCATGTTTTTCGGCACCAGTGGCCGACCGGGCCCACTTCCACTATTGCTCCCCAGCTGTTTCCTAGCGGTACCACTATGATCTGGCGGCAACTTCCTAGCGTGGCCCACCTTCTCCGGCACAGATTTGGCTCTGCTTTGGCTGCTTGCAGGCATTGGCTTCCTTACGTCACGGCCATTCGAGACTTCTCTTCCGCGCTGAATCACAGCTTCTTTGCTCCTCTGCTGAGGTTGAGCAGGTCGTGCATCTTTTCAAGTCCATGAAAAAACCTGTATGAGTTCCTTTAAGAAAAAAATATATAATTTCGTTGGGAATTAATAACAAACCAGATAGTATATAGGAGGCAGTTGCACACACCAGACTTGGGGGTCGACACGTTTCTTGGTGGCGGGCTTCTCGAGGGAGCCGGAACCTCAGCATCATCGGATAATAGAAAAGAATAATCCCTTGTGCTTTTCAGCATTTCGGCCTTCCTTTTCACCTGCACCAATGATTAGGAAAAACAATAATGAAGTAACAATTACAAGCACCGAATGATGATCAGATGAGTAACCCGATTCTTACCCCATTTGTAGCGCTCGGCCGATAGCTGGGCTGAGATTTTGGTCTGACAGGGGCTGAAATACGGCTCTTATTGTTGTTCTACATGAAAAGAAAGAAATTAAAAAAAATCAGATTGTCATGAAATAGCTCAAAAGTAAAGTTATTATTTCCACTGACATGTGACTGAAAAATCTTCAAAGGCAATAATATCTTCTAAGGATGTGTTCATAGTACAGCATGATAGAGAAAACTATTATCACGATTAAGACATCCTCAAGAAGGATATTTTGAATACTGAACCAACTAAAAATACACAATGCTGCTTGATGACTAAAAGCAATACTACCAAAAGCAAATTCTTGCACAACCCACATATCTAATGCTTATCTATTCCAGATAAATCAAATCAAATCCAACATGCTACCAAATTTAATAAATGTGTACGCATGTTCTTCAATGAAACAAACATGAAGAAAACAAACAGGAGTACATAAGAAAGAACTGATGCCATCTACAAAAGAGAAAAAGAAATAAGGAGAGCGAGTACTTCTATACATACAGTATGATTATGACTAGGTTTAGAGAGCCTTGCTGCCAAATCTGGATTTTCCAACAAGGACTTGCTTTCTTGGATTACTCTCTGAGCTATAACCGGCTGTGAAGGCCCAAAGAAGGAACCATAACTGCAAACACACCAGTTAATATTGATATCAAACTTAAACTGATTCATAAAAATATATACTAATAGACACAATTCATCAGCATATCACTTAGCAGTCATACAAGAAAGAGAACCAAAGTATAATGCGCTGGCCTTAAACACTAAATATAAAATATGTTTATAAGCAATAGCACCCAATCAAAAAAGAAATAGAAACCTCATGAAATTATACAAAGGGCTAAAAGATAAAATGAAGTAAGAATTGGAGAGCATTAGCATAACACAAATCTATTTAAATTAATGAGAACTATAGAGAAAAAATCAACGAAGACAACATACGAAACACACGAAGGTGCTAACAATTTTGTCACGCGTGATAAAATCTTACTCGTCTTTACGGTATGTATTCGTTTTGCCACGAGGGCAAGCGGTGGCAATCCCCCTCTGCTTTCTGATTTTATCTTTTAATCTTTGCCTCAGTTCAAGATATTCCAACTGCTCCTCGGTGGGCGGCTCGGGTTCTTCTTCATATCCATCCTCAGCGCCTTCTTCTTCCTCTTCACCATCCTCCTCATACTCATCCCAGTCTTCATACTCCTGCATTTCTAAATGTTTTAGATTTACAGAATTATCTGAAATAAAAATACCCAAGAGATATTGTTCAAGAAAACTTGACGCAAAATTTGCTTACATTTCTTTCATACTCTCGCATTGCACTTCTCAAAAACCCGGTAACAGCAGAAGATGTGGGTGCTGGATCTCACAGAACTTAAATTCCCAGATCTAATCATGGAAAAGGAATAACAAGAATAAATTCAAGGTTCTTAATAAAAATTCAAATCTGCCCACTAACCAGAGAGTTGGAAAAAAAATAGCATGCTTCAGTAGTAATCCTGGTTAAGAATACATATAACCTAAAATTCTACAAATGGTTACATAAAAACTCACAAAAAAAAATCAAATACCACCAAAACCAATCAGTATACTGACTTATTTTCTTTTTCACTTTTCTATGACACTATTCTTGATGATTATTGCCCGAATTCGATAAGATCTAAAATTGCAAAATATATATGAATATACAAATATTGCACATCCGGGCAGATCTCTGACCGGGGAAAACAAATTGGACTTCGCAGGACACAGAAGAACAGAAAAAATCATTGAACCAACCTTCTGATCATCTGTTATTGTAAAAAACGCAAAAATCACAAAAAAGAAAAGATTGAAAAAAATTTAGAGAAATATTGATTGAGAAAAGAACGAAAAAACTATAACTTCAACCAACCGATTAAAGGTCAAAATTCTTAATTCACTCATTAAACAAATTAAGCACAAAAAACGATACCGAATTTGATTTTGTTAATTATAACGCCGTTCGACGCGGAAATCCACCGAATTGTTGATGATATTCACCAGAAATCGCAAATAGAGACAGAGGCGGTGCAATAAAAACATAAATTCAAAGCAAAAAACACAGAAATCAACTGAAAATCAAAAATTTTGCACGAATCGAAATAAATTACCTCAAAATCGACGAATCCGGTATCGAAATCGGCAAAATCGGAACGATAAAACCCAAATTGATCGGAACGAAGGCGGATCTGAATGGAGGGCGTCGTTGTGGAGATAAAAGGGAGGCGGAGCGATAGGGTTTCGTGGTTGAAAATTTTGGGGGAATCCCTTAGCGAGGCAGTGTGAGATAAAGAAAATCCGAAGGACCCAGAAGAGAAGGGGTGTGTGCTATCGTGCGCCTGCGAGTTGGCAATAAGAATGACACCCAGACCGGATTCCGGTTCGGTTTTTCTCCTTTTGAAGACTAACCCGGTTTGACACGTGGGTAATCTCTGATTCTCTGCGGGTTTCCTTTTATTGATAAGATTTTTGTTGGGTTTATTTTTATGTTGATATTTGTGTTATTATGGAGATTTTAGATTTTAATTTTAGTATTTGAAATTGAAACTATAATCAGATTATTATTAACCTACTATTAGTATTTTACCTTATGTAGTTAGACCCGGTAAATTAATTTCTTAATATATAGATTCAGTAGAACTTCGAAAATTTAATATTTGATAAATTAATAACTTTACTTAAATAATAATTTTCAGATCTGACTTGATAAAAACGTACTATATTACTAGTTTAATAAATTAATATTTTACTAAATTAATTAATTAAATTTTGTTATTAATTTATAAAGGTTTAGCTCTATATTAAGAAAGTATGTAACAATACACATATCATACAATTAAAAAATTGACACTTCACTTGTAGGTTTTAACAGTTAGGCCCAATGCTATTCCATCAATTCTTGAGAAGCCCACAAGAATGAAATTAAGGTAAATCGGATAGGACAAAATTTCAAATAATTTTAATATAATTCCAATTCAAAAAAACTTGAAAGTATTGGAAATCGAAATGAAACAGGTTGTTCCAAATTTTGAAGTTTTTTAATCAGAACCGGCGAAAATTGAAAATTTCGGTCCGACTTTCACCCCTAATCGCGCTAGTTACCAACATGTAAAATGAAAATTTATGGCGGGAAGATGGAAATGTGCGGTCCCATCTTTATTAGTTGATCGCATCCGAATTGCTTCCATGCTTGTTGGAAAAACCGATAAACAGTGTTTTTCATTTTACATAATCAGAATGTTACAACTTAAATAGAAAACTAATTAATAAATTTATCCTAATTTTAAGGAACACTAACCCACTACTAACAACTAACTAAGTATCCTACAATCACGGAATACTATTTTGACTAATTATTTACTAAACTAATATTAATCATTTAATTAAATAAACAATAAATCTCATATTTTAACACCCTCTCTTAAACTGATTTCCGCGGAAAACAGTTTACTATGAGATTTATTCTTCTGCTTTGATATATTCTTTTGCGAAAGAACATATATCAAATTCCTCACAAGGAGAACCAATGCCTCAAACACTCCAACTCGTGCGAACGCCAATTTTTTCGAACGCCTCCGTCAATCTCACTGATTGACACTCCATCATCAAACACGAGAACTCCTAATTTCTTTTGCGAAAGAAATACATCAGCTGCTGCTAATCGAACACTTCTACTTCAATGAAGTATTCCACTATATTCTCGTACTAAAAATGGACACATCAGCTACGGCTGATTTCACCTCATTCTTAAGGCAACATTCATGCTCTCGTTGTACCAAATCCCTTGAAGACTTCACTTATCTTCACATTGTTTAACAAGAGTTTTTCAACCAATGCATATTGCATTCAACTCCAACCAATTTCAAGTACTATAAGCAGCAAACTGCTACGTCTAGACAATGGCGTTGGCGGCACTTGCAATCCTAGGCCACAAATCAGCACACTCCTTTCCGATAGGACCAGTGATGGCAGATCCTTTCATTTCAATCTTAGAAATGAAAGTACATGAAGGCACCGTCCTTTCGGCGCCACGGCTTGCGCTGGCGGACGATGACGGCGGGCATGACCTTGTTACGGAGCTCAGGCTTTCCCTTATTCACGGTGGCCATGACCATGTCGCCGACGCAGGCCGACGGAAGCCTGTTCAGGCGACCCTTGATCCCCTTCATTGATATGATGTACATATTCTTCGCCCCGGTGTTGTCGGCGCAGTTCACCGACGCCGCAAACGGCAGACCCAGCGACATCCTGAACTTGTTACCGGCCGATCCTCCGCGCCCTCGCTTCAACATTTTCGCAGGATCTTCACCCCTCTCTACTCTTTTTTTTTTTTTTTTTGATAAACTCACTGCTAAATTCTAATACCCTAGAGAAGATACGATTAAAATCTTACATGATAAATAAAAGAGTTGGATCACAGGTCAGGATCCAAGCTCTGATACCACTTGTAGGACCTCAGGCGCTACCAGTTGTCCCAAAATCAATTGGTGTTAGGAAAGGCGCAAACCCTAGCCTTATAGTGCATTCAACACACACAAGCGCCCACGGCATTCGATTGTGGGCCGCCCATACCCGGGCCGCCAAACCCAGGCTAACAATCTCCCCCTCAGCAATTGCTCCAGCTGGGAATCGAACCCGTGACCTTGGCTTTGATACCATGTTGGAAAAACCGATAAACAGTGTTTTTCATTTTACATAATCAGAATGTTACAACTTAAATAGAAAACTAATTAATAAATTTATCCTAATTTTAAGGAACACTAACCCACTACTAACAACTAACTAAGTATCCTACAATCACGGAATACTATTTTGACTAATTATTTACTAAATTAATATTAATCATTTAATTAAATAAACAATAAATCTCATATTTTAACATCTGTTGGGCCCCCCGCCGGGATAGCACAAACTCCACATTGGTATGATATTGTCCAGATTGGGCCGGACCCAACTGGTTTTGCTCTTGGGTTTCCCCAAAAGGCCTCATACCAATGGAGTTACTATCCCCTCTATATAAACCATAGATCTTTCCCATATTAAAGCGATGTTACTATCCCCTCTATATAAACCATAGATCTTTCCCATATTAAAGCGATGTGGGACATTGTTTGCACCTCAACAATCCTCCCCTCGAACAAAGTACCACATAGGTCGGACCACAAAGGACCACTGAGCCTCCCCTCAATTTGCGCACCAGGAGCTCACCACATTTGTTCGGCACCGAGGATTCGGGAATTTCACACAGATTCCGGCAATTTCCACCACATGGTTAGGTCTGGGCCATGGCTCTGATACCACTGTTGGGCCCCCCACCGGGATAGCACAAACTCCACATTGGTATGATATTGTCCAGATTGGGCCGGGCCCAACTGGTTTTGCTCTTGGGTTTCCCCAAAAGGCCTCATACCAATGGAGTTACTATCCCCTCTATATAAACCATAGATCTTTCCCATATTAAAGCGATGTGGGACATTGTTTGCACCTCAACAATGCTTTTGGATTTCTTCTTCATCTTCTTACAATTTTTGTGGAAGATAGAGAGAAGCAACAACTTGAAGGATCAACCAGATATCGAATTTCAGGTAAACTTTTTTATTTAATCTCGTTTAGTTACCAAGATAAGATTAGTCAACATAAAATTAAATAATTTAGTAAAAACCCAATTATTTTATCAGACTGAGACGTCCAACAAAAAAAACTTTCGACATGATAAGTTTTCAAAATACTAAACATTAAACAAAATTCAATTATTTAATTAATCATGACTAATCTCCCACAACCAACGAGCCTTATTGAATGTATTTATGGTATTATAAAACAAAAAAGAAATAAAAAATCAAAGGGTTAGTTACAGTTAGACCCCTCCAAAATTAGATAATTACAGAATGCCCACTTAACCTTTGCCATCTAACAACACAAACAAAATAAGAAGATCCCCAAATAATTTTCTACCGAGAAAAGAAAGAAATTAGGGTTTAAACCCACCCTCAGTTTCGTGTGTTCTATTTGCTTTGATTTGATTTGATTTGATTTCTCTTCTGCCGGAAGAAATTAATCGAAAATAAAGGTGAGCACCCGCTGTAGATTTTTTCTTACTTGTGTTTGGTTTTTGAATTGCGATTAGGTTTTTTTTTTTAAATAGAAAATTGCGATTAGGGTTGAAGATAATGAAAGACTTCGCCTTTGCATTGCATTGCCGTGTTAAATAAATTTCTTAGGTTTTCCGTTCAATTAATTTAATTAATTTCTTAGGTTTTCCGTTCAATTAATCGGAATATCCAGAAGAAGAAAAAAAAAAATCGGAAAAAATCGGAATGTTGCCCGATGACGAGCACCGCCGCGAAGTGGAGTACGCGTTGGAATACGCAATGCTAGCCATACTGGACCGGATGCCGCCGGTGGTGCCGCCACCGCAGACATTGTCTGAAGCACACCAAAGATTGCGGGGGTACTGTTCTCGTCACAACACCCCGCCGGTGCCGATTCGTGTCCCGCGTGATTGGAAGCCTTGTCTGGAACTACCGAAGCACATGTTAGACAGCCAGGCGCAACCGCAGCTGGATAAACAAATCGAGCAGCTGCGTGGCCTGATCACTAACGCCATTTTCACGGGGCGTAGTAACAGCTACCTTGCGACGGCACACAACTATCTCGCGACGGCTAAGATCTACGTCCGTAGGGCCCACTTCGAGCAAGCAAGGGTTGACCGCAAGCGGAAATCGGATGAGTTGGCCGAGTCGATGGATGAGTGGTATGCCAACAAAAAACGCTAGGATGACGAGGGAAGTGTTGGTAAAACTCAAAATACTTGATTTGCAGTCCTCTGAATCGACTTTCTAATCCATCTTGAATTAACTGAACTAAATGTCGGGTGAAGTAAATGTCGGGTGAGAAAGATACGCATGAATGAATGAACATTGATTAGAGTTTCGACGTTGTTGACATTTGTGAACAATGACATTTACACACTCCTATACAAACTCCTATGTGTATTTGTGCTTGTTGGGTATATTATTTAATCAAATCTCGTACGTAATCACACACTCATGTGTATGTGTGCTTAGTGAATAGTTATTTAATTAAATATACCGTTCAAATTTATCCTATATAACTAACCAAACATACCATTCAATTTCATTCGGTATAAATAACCAGGTGTAGCATCTAACTTCTGGTACAACTGCATGAATACTAAACAAAACAAACTTTATTTCATATCTGCTTTCTTCTTTTGATACAAGAAAAGGGGAATTACTTCTAACAAAAAAAATTAAAAATTAAAATGACCACATAAACACATATATAATAATATTATATATAGTAGTAGTACTTCAATGGGATGAGTTACAATTTTTATTTAGCAGATATTTTGTTTTCTTCATTGTCTGATTCAGACAACAGGGCCAGCACTAACAATTTCTTGAGTCAATTTATCATCTTTTCCAATTTTGTGAGCAACAAAGCCTTCAAAGTTGTTCTTGAAAAGGCCAGCCAGTTTCACTAGTGACTCGTTGTAAGCCTTCTTATCGGACCACTAAAAAATTAATAATACGAGGTTAAAACAAATCGCACGGAAAATCAAGAAGTAAATATGCGAATTTTCGTTAAATTTTTTTTATCAAGTTTTGTAGAACTTACGGTGTTCATAGGCTCCAAGATTTCTGAAGGCACACCCTCGACTTCTGACGGGATCTCGAGGCCAAACACCTCTGTTTTCTTGTAATTAGCATTCAAGAGGCTGCCGGAGTGTATGGCGTCGATGATTTTTCGAGTGTACGCCAATTTTATACGGCTCCCCGAACCATATCTGAAAAAAAAAAAAAAATTTTGTTAAAACTTCGTTTACCTATGAAGCATTTTAGTCTCTGTTTGATCGGTAAGATGTGCGATGATTATTAAATAATGAAGCCTTGTGTATTGAAACTAGGGGAAGAAATTCGACATATCGCATCGAAATTAACATTTTCGGGAAAAAAATTCAACTTTTTTCGGAAGTGAAAACTAATTTCAATTCCGTTCCAAAAAAACTATAGAAAATCGGAAATTGGAATGACAAAACGTATTCCAAAAATTTGAAATTTCATATCAAAATAGCTGGAATTCGAATTTTCCATTTTTTCAGCCACCTATAATATAGATTTCATAGGAATATTATTGAAGTTAAATTTCCAGAAATAGTTTCGAAAATTAAAATCGAATGGAAAATCAGAATCTGATTATGTTTCGAAAAATTCAGAAAAATCATAAATCGGAACTTTCGAAATGGGAAATATTGTATACTAAAATCGAAAATATTCGGATCAGAATTGACGGAATTCAAAAAATTTCGTTCCAATTTTAACCCTGATCGAAACTCACTGTCCCTAATAAGATTGCAAACAAACTGAGTCATCGATATAAAACTATATAGTGTACCTTCCACCGGACCAGCCAGTGTTAACGAGCCACCCCGTTGCACCATGCTTCTGCATTTTTGCAGCTAACATGGCTGCATATTTAGTCGGATGCAGCATTATGAACGCTGCCCCAAAGCAAGCTGAAAATGTCGCCTGCGGTTCTTTAATTCCTTCTTCGGTTCCCGCAACCTGTATTTCGAAAAGAAAAAAAAAAGTTAAAATTACGTTTTCGCCCTTGAATTTGTGCCGATCAAAATAAATAAATAAATGCCCCTACAAGTGCAGTGTAGCCACTGATGAAATGATACATCGTCTGAGCTAGACTCAGCTTGCTCACTGGTGGGAGCACGCCAAACGCATCGCAAGCCAATAGTATCACGTTCTTAGGGTGCGGGCCCACACATGGGATTTTAGCATTCGGGATGTATTCGATAGGATACGCCGCTCGAGTATTCTCTACAAATACGGTGAAAAGAAAAAAAAAGATGGAGCATATTAATTTTTTTTTTCTAATCGAAATTTTAAAACCAAAAGGACGAAATTTACGAATTGTGTGCTTTTTACCTGTGACAGATTTCTCAGTGTAGTCAACTTCTCTAGTATGCTCGTCGAATACCACGTTTTCCAATACTGCCAACCATGAGTACAAATGATTTTACTTACACAATATAGGGGGGGAATTTTGTTAATATTTTATAACACGGGGCTTTTTACGCAATTAGAGTACTATTTTATTTTACGTGAAAATGGAGACACTAAATAATTAATTAATTACCTGTCCCAAACTTGATTGCATTCCAAATATCGGGCTCCTTCTCCCGTGCGAGATCGATACACTTAGCATAACAGCCTCCTTCGATGTTCGATACACCGTTATCGCTCCAACAATGTTCGTCGTCTCCAATAAGGTATCTATTGTGATCGGTCGACAGAGTAGTTTTTCCCGTTCCTGAAATAAAAATAAATAAAAAAATTAACATTTAATAAACATCTATAGATTGTAAACCAAAAAAAAAAATTCAATGCATGACTAATATTTATTTACCAAATTACGGCCACCCCTGAGGTATGGCCAAATTACGAAAAACCCCCTCTTGTTTAGGTAATTACATTGTTTAGGTAATTACAGCCACCCCCTCCTTTTAAATATTTTTACATAAAATTTATGTAATTCGGTTATTTTCCGAACCAAATCGTATATTTAGTTCGATAAACAGTATGAAATGTTGGCGTACCGAAATATCGGTTCGGTTTTTACCTAATTAACATTCATAAATTTACCTCTGGAGGGGTCTTTTCGTAATATAATATATAGTTGAGGAGGTGGCTGTAATTACCCAAATAGGAGGGGTCGTAATTTGACCATAACTCAAGGGGGTGGCCTTAATTTGCCCTTATATTTATATTGACAAAAAATATATGCGTAAAGGGTAATTTCGGGTTTTTCTATCAAAATATAAATTATACTTACTAGAATCGTTAATCTGTGTGCATCTACCTTAAACGACACTTAAAAAGAAACAGAGATGCAGTATTATCAACATATACACACACAAGTTAATGCTGAGAAAACACATATCGGGGGGTTACGGCCCCTCACCTGACAAGCCGAAGAAGAGAGCAACATCTCCATCTTTGCCCATATTGCACCCGGAGTGGAGGGACAAGATTTGACGCTTGGGCATGAGATAATGCATAACGCCGAAAAGGCCCTTCTTCATTTCGCCCGCGTATTGAGTCCCGAGTATGACCATTTCTCTTCTCGCAAGATTTAAATCTATGCTAGTCGATGATGTCATGTAGTGCGTGTAACGGTTACACGGGAACTGTCCCGCGTTGTATATAGTAAAATCCGGAGTGCCGAAATTCTCCAGCTCTTCGGGGCTCGGTCGGATACACCTGTCACGGGCCCCACCCGATTATCCACTTTAACAAAATTGACTAATATTCCGATTTTTTTTGGCAAGGATTGAATTAGTGAATGTTTTTCGATTTTGTTTTGGGGAAAATATAACTTACATGTTGTGCATGAACAAGGAATGGTAAGCCCGTGCGGACACGATCCTGACTTTGATACGATTCTCCGGGTCCCAGTTCAGGAATTGATCGTTCACAAAAACCTGGTAGATAATTTATCGTGACGAATATTATTTTTTACAAAGAAATTAAAAAGGAATTTCTATGAAAATTCACTAAAGAAAATATTTTAAATTTTACGAACATTTTTATTACAATTTCACAATTAAATTAAACTTAAGCATGGGATATATATGGCTTTCGGCATTCGGACAAAATCCGTTATAGACGAAATTACCCCTCTCAAAAAGGATCAAAGCAGTATGGCCAACAAATGACAAGAACGATAACGTAGGCCCTATCTTTATAACTTATATTTAACCTTTATTATTATCCGCGAAGCAGTTCAAATGAGACAAAATACACTACGCAGTGAAGAAATTGAAGTCACAATTCACACACACGCGGGCGTGCACCACCAACAATTGCAACATTTAATTTCTGCACCGCGAAATCACTATAATCAAAAGCCGTAAAATTAAAATCGTTACCTTATCCAACGAATTCAAATAATCCACGGCTCTTTCCCTATTAACCATGAACGTGTGCTCGTCCATTTCAATATTCGGCGAGCCACTACATATACCATAAAATACAATTAGATAAGAGAAACAAATACGGAACTTTTACGAATTTTTTTTCCAATTTTGGATATAAATTTAAATAAGAAAGAATAAAAAAATTGCACGTACCGGCCCCACCAAAGATCATCCTCGGTTGTCTCGTCTCTTACAACACGTTTGTCCTTAGGCGATCGGCCGGTCTTGGCCCCCGAAAGGGTGGCCAATGCACCGCTAGACGTAATGAAAGACCCCTTCTCGTATTTGATCGCTTGCTCGTATAGTTCTGCATTGATTGATCCACCAAATTATATTAGCAAAAAATAATTAATAAAAAAACAATTAATTCAATTTTTTTTAATTAATTAATAATAATAATAAATTTATTACCGGCAGGAGAGAGGTTGTAGAGGACATGGGTGAATTTCAAAGAACTGTCGGTGACGGTGATGGTGGGGGTGACGAGGTGGTGGCTGACGTGGGATACACGTGGCGTCTCCGATTGCCTTGCCGGGTCACCTTTTACCACATTCGGTCCGTTTTCTCTTGTGAATGATGCCAATGAATCACTGCAAATTTGGGAAAAATTATTACCAAACAATTCAATTATCTTGAAAAATCAAATGAATCTATAAATTGATCCAAGTATTATTAAATTATTTTATCATTAATTAAGTACATAATAATACTCCCTTTTTCAATGTACGATAGAACCTCAATAAATTAATACTTGATAAATTAATAACGTCGATTAAATAATAGTTTTTCTCGGTCCCCGCTCGATGAAAACATGTTAAATTATTAACTTGATAATCTAATAATTCGCTATATTAATAGAATTTCTCTGATCCCAACTGTATTAATTTATAGAAGTTTTAATTTATAGAAGTTAACTGTATGTAGAATTCCAATTAGAAATTTATTGGAAAAATAAATTCATCTATAAATTGATCTAAGTATTGAATTATTTTATGATTAATAAAGTACATAATAATACTCCCTCCCCCATAAATTATTTGTCCTTTTGAAAAAAAAATTGTTTTAAATTAATTGTATGTAGAATTCCAATAAGAAATTTCTTTAAAAAAAAAATCAATTTTGCCATTGAAATTAATAAATGACTCTCTCTCACACATAATTGACACTGTTTCTCTCTCTTAATTAGTCCACAAGACTAATTAAAAAATATCTCTAATTAAAATAGAATTTTACATCAAGAATTATATATATATATATATATATATACCTGATTGACTGAAGTTGCTGTTTGCTGCGCTCGCCCTCAGACAGCGGCGCAAAGGGGCTGTGAACACCGTCGATGGGGGTGGTCGGCGCCGACGATTTCTTCTTCTGCAGAGAATGGAGCTGGTCAATCGTCTGAGCCCTCACCGGCGGCGTAACATCGTCGTGGCATACTCCCTCCGCCTTCTTCTCAGTATGGATCTTCGGCAGCCCGTTCCGCCCAGTCGCCGCCGCCACCGCCCCGCGTCCGGTTCCGTTCGCCGCCATTTTCTTCTACCTTCCAGAAATAAAATAAAAAATAAAAACAATAATCCGTAACGTAAAATTAAGCAAAGATATTGAAAACTGACGATTAAATATGTCAGAGGAGAGAGAGGAGAGAGAATCATACCGGAAATATAGAGAGAGAAAGAGATGAGAGAGAGAGTGGCAGTATGGTAATTAAGGAAAAAAGAAATGGGAAAAAAAAGATGGCACGAACATCAAAGTGGTGAAGAAAGGTGATGAAGGAAGGTGGCTGAGGGGGTCCAATTTATAGTATGGGCGGCCATCTTTTAACCATGGTTGGGGTTAACTAACCATGGTTAGATTCAACCCTTTGTCATCAATGTTATGGGTTGACAATATCCAAAATTTCCATCATATAGATATTGTTCAATTATTTTATCAATTAATTATAGGGTTAATGTCCAGTTTTTACACATTTTCTTTTTATTATGGGTAAATTACTAAAAAACCCTATGACATTAGGCTAAATAATGAAAAACACCTTCCACATATCCGTAATAATTAAAAGGGGCGTGCTAAATCCTACATTAAAATTTACTAAATCACACACATAAATTAAAAAAAAACATTCTCTCTCTGCTCAAATTTTCTCTAACTTCTCTCTAAAATGATTTTATCCAAGTCACTCAAAATTCATTATTTTTGTACATGAATAATCATAAAAAATGAGTTCCGTTTTATTTAATATTTATTCAATTGCATTAAGCATTTTTAATTATTCAAATTCATATGAATTCGATTTTTTCCCTCAAATTCCAACTTTATTTTAGTTTGAAATGTGAAGATTTTTGTCAAATTCGAACTTGGAATGCTAAGGATGTTTTTAGTGTGTGATTTTGTGAAAACATTAGGGAAAAAGAAGAAGGATGGGAAGAAGAAGAGAAGATTTTAGAGAGATAAATATTTTTAATTATGTGCGTGATTTGGTAAAAATAGTGTGGGATTTAGCATTTCAGTAATTAAAACCCCCTCTGATTAATTGTTGATTGAGTTTTTTTAACAGAAAATGTGTACAGTCAATTTTATTTTAAATAGGTGAAAAATAAAAGAGAAAATATTGAAGTTGTGTAAAGTCTATTGCATTGAATCATAAAAAATATGTGAAAAGTCACACTAGAAGGGGTTGGTGTAAAACGGAAACAAACTTCAGGGGTTTTTTAATGATTACGAATAGGTAGATGTGGTGTAATTTAATCTAAGTTTAGAGGTGTTTTCATAATTTACCCTATTATTATTTAGACCAAATTATGGCCACTCTTAAGGTATGCTCAAATTATGAAAAAATCATTTATGTTTGGATAATTACAACCACTCCTCTAACTATGTATTGCTTTACACGTCCATTTTTACAGTGTCAGATTTACCTATTGAAGGAGATTTTTTTCGTATGACGATACATATATGAGGGGTTTTGTAATTATTCAAACAAGAAATGTTTTCTTTTCGTAATTTGGGGTTATCTCAGAGGAGTGGCCGTAATTTGCCTTATTATTTAATTTAACTTAAATTCATTTTTCTCTAAATTTGTAATATTTTATATCATTATATATATTTTTCTATTTATAATAAAAAAAAAATTGGAACAGCTCATGAGCGGATTGATGAGAGCTATAACTCGAGCTTTTGTATCCGTTTCAAGACAGAGAGAAACTCAACTCATTTACACCCGTAACGTAATTGCCAATTTATTAGCATTGATTGAACAAATTAGCATTGAAGATATGTATTTTTAAATTAGACTTATGTCCCACTATTAATAGAATTTGGGTGATGTTTGCTAATGGTATATATTATTCATGTTTCTTTCTTCTTTTAATTAATTAATTAATTATTTCTTATTTGATAGATATAATACTATTCATGTTTAAATGAATGAAAACCGATCATTTAAATGACTGAAAAAACGCAGGAATTGGAAGAACTGTTTCCCACTGAAAAGCTGGCAAATCGAATCGAATCAAAATCAAAATTTGTGACACAATAAATAGTGGTTGGGTCTGTGTTTTCAGGCCACTTGCATTTGGAAAACGTATCTTATTTTTTATAGGGTAAATTACACCCACACCCCTGAGGTATGCTTAAATAACTGTAAGGTCCCTGTGGTATCGATAATTACACTCACCCCCCTGAAAGGTACTTAAAAACTCTAACGGGATAATGTATTGGATACATTATTCCGATAGGGTTCTAATGGGACTATT